GCACCTGTTCACCTGCTCACCTGTGCGCCAGCGTCCTTGTCATCATCATCGTCATCATCGCTGTTGTATCGTTATGGTTTCCCCTCAAACGCCCGACACCCGACCCCCCCACCTCCAACACCCAATCGACCAACCCCTCACACTCTCTGCTCACGTAGTCTATGCTTTGCTGCAAACTTTGAAAATTATAATTTAATTTGAATGTCATTAAAATTTGTGCGGCATGAGCTAAGCCCCGCTGCCACGCCCCTTCCGTCACCCATCTGTACCCTTTCATCATCATGGCTAGCAAAATATTATATACAAAAGCATAAAAGACCAACATGTTTTCATGAAGGCTGCCAGCCGGATTTGAATCCCGATTTCTTTCACTATTTCTCTAATCTACAAGCTTGACAAGAGAGTGAGAGAGAGAGAGAGAGAGAGAGAGAGAGAGAGAGAGAGAGAGAGAAGTAGAGAGCGACAGAGAGAGAGAGAGAGAGAGAGAGAAAGCTAAAGCAGCATCTAAACTTTATTTAAATATTGACTGTACAATTTTGTTGAAATTTAAATAAAATATATTTAATAAAATTAAATGTATGTCATTACATTTAGAATTATGTATATGTGAAATTTATCTAGCATCAATCTGTCTGATTTCATTTTAAAAATTCACAAGATATTTTAGATTCAGATTTCTTCCTTCCTTTTCCCTTATGTGCTCAAAATTTGAAGTATGTAGAGAAAAATAGAAATAGAATAGATAGCAAAGGAATGGAATGAATAGAAAATAGAGAATACAGGAGAGAGGAACAAAATTGAATGGATAGCAATAAGAATGTTATTGGATATCAGAATGGATAGCAGAATGGCATAGATAGAATGGATTGGATAGTAAAATTGAATATATGGTAAAAGAATGGAAAGTATAGTAAAAAGAACGCTAGCCAAATAATTGACAACAAGTTTGAGTGGAAGCCAAATGAAATTGCTTTGCAGTCTCAGTCTCTATTTACGCTGCAAATCTTTTAATTATTGCCATGCCCCACACATGCATTTAAGTATAAGGCTGAAGTAGAGCGCTTTTCCCTCTTTGCTCACGCACTTTTCAATTATGTGAAATTTAATCAACATTTTGTGCGCACAGCTAAAGTTTAGAGCATAAATTGTGTGTGGCATAAAAATTAAAAAATAAAAAAAAGAAAGAGGGAAAAAAGTGTAAATAAATGAAACTTAATTTCAAAACTGACGTTGTCAGCTGCCCCTCGGCTCCCACAAGTCCCCTTGGCCCCCCACTGGACTGGGCTCGCATCAGAAATGCGCATTTTTTATATAAAAGTTTGTTTGTATAAGTGTGTGTGTGTGTGTGTATGTTTTTATTTTTTATTTTTATAGTGAAGCTGCCAAGTGGAAAAAGCAAACGGCGCAGAAAAACTGCTGCAACCGCAAGAAATTAAGAAAATATTCACTTAGGCACTCGCCCGACGCCTTATCTGCAGGCCAGCAGCCGCGACACCACGGCCAACAGTCGACATCTTGCCTCTTAGCCTTGCTTGAAATCCGCAATAAACCAACAAGCAGGAAAAACTGAGGGAAAATGGGAGAAATCCTGCTGAAAGCACTTTGCCTGCCATTGAAGTTGGGCTGAGTGGAAGCGCTCTGGCATTAACTAACTGTCCGGCAACAAAGTTTCCTGGCTGCAGTGCAACAGTTTCTCGGAATAGAAAATTCTAGCGAAAGACCGGAATGTCCAGCAGAAGTACAAAGCTAGAAATAGGAAAACTATATTATTTATTATGATAGTGTGCATTGGGAACAGATGAGAGATTAGGAATTCCTTGAATTGAGAAATTACTTTTGATATGGTTAGGTTTTGTCTACTTCTCGTGCCATCTGTTTCCTTATGAATATGAATCTGATTTTAGATAAAGTGAATTGTCACGATATCTCAAATAATAATAAAAATTATATATGAAGTAATCGGGGGAGAGAGAGAGAGAAAGAGAGAGAGAGGGATGTCTGAGGGAGAATATACAATAGCCAAAGATTGACTTAAAGTGAGAGAGAGAAGGAGAGGGAGAGTGAGGGTAAGTGAGAAAGAGAGAGACTTAGCATCGCATATACCGAGAAACAAGTAAAAGACAGTGAAAGGCAATGAGAGTGAGATGGAAAGAGAGAGAGAGAGACAGAGAGGAATTAGTGGCACTAGATAAACGAAAAAATAAAGAAAAGTTAGGGAGAGATCGAGAAAAGAACAAGCTGAAGACAAGTAAACACAATAGATAAAAATATACAGAGTGTGTGTGTGTGTGCGTATGAGAGAGAGAGAGAGAGAGAGAGAGAGAGAGAGAGAGATTACATCTCTAACAACTTCTCTCCCAACTGAGAAAGGCAACTGAGCACCACGACAGATGAGTACAGTAGTAGAGTAGAGCTATATCTCTTCGCTTAACTCTTCTTTATGCCTCCAATACAGAATGAATATATAGAGCTATATTTCAACTCCTCAGTTACCTTTAAGCAAATAACTTTTAATCGTTTTAGTTTTCTTTATACCTCAATCGTGTTGGTCTGAAATCTGGCATCTGGAACTCTCTAACGGCTTGCTTTCTGCATTCCAATTGACTTAATTTAAGTGAAATGCGAATTGCGAAATGGGAGATGCAATCCCGCTCTCTCGCCTAATCGCATTTTAATTGTGCTGCAAAATAATATTTAAATTAGTTCGACAGTAGACACTGGCAGCGGCGACCACCAAAGCGAGTGGAGGAGCTATTAAATATGCCTTTGTAGAGCTCGAGCTGCGACCTAATGGGCTGCCAGCATGCAACCCAGTCGGAGGCTCAAGGACAAGGCAGGGGCATCCTATGCATACATATATATAAATTACTATATATATGTACGTGTCTGTGTGTACATTTGACGAGTTGATGTAGCAACGGCTGCCAGCCACGGCAAATGGAAATAGAAAGCCCAAGCGCAAGCCAACTGCAGCTTCTGAGACAATTTAACGAGTCGTTGAGTCGTTGCTGGGTGGTGCAGCATTCGGGGATTACTCTTGAATGCTTCAATTCTGCTGGAAGAATTTTAAATGCTCGGGCAACGAGGCGAACAATAACCGAAAGGCATCCACAGTCCATGCCATTCCTTTGTTGAGCTTTATTGAATATTTTTGTCAAATATTGATTGGATTCTGGTTCGTTGATTGAAAACTGGCGACAAGTTAATAAAATCGATTCGCGGCTTGAAAGAAGCTTGCAAATTGATTAAATACTGTTGAGAAGAGAGGTGGATCATAGGCTTGTGAAGATGATTTATCCAGCTTTTGGCTAGAGATTAATTTTCGAAATATATTTAAGTACTAATCTTTAGATCTCTAGATATATCGAAAAATTTTATATTTTGGAGTGCCTTTTAAAAGGATTTTATATAATAGTTTTGTAAAATGCATGTAATAGGCAGAAGGAGGCGATCCCATGTATGTCTATCAATGCGTATAACTAAGCGATCTCGTAAGCTACAAAAGCTATACGATTAATATTTTTAATATTTATTCCTTTATACCTTATCATTAATGTTTTCGATAAGTCATTTCATTTCCTTAAGAAATCGATAAGAGTCGATCATTTGATATCGAGAATTTGATATATCATTTCATATTTGATGTGTGATCGAAAGATGTTATTTATACAGATTTTGCTTAGTAAGGGCTATGAATTCCATATACTAATAGTATACATGAATGTATATATGCTTGTAATTTAATGTAGGTATACTTGAAAAGTAATCAAATGGAATAATTGCAAGAACACCTCTTTTTAATGGGTTCAATGTACATCCCAAACTTGCAGCCCCGCCTAGCGCTCTAGTCTTGGCAGAATAAATCGATTTTTCAATATTTTTAACTATGCTGATATAGCAGCAATTATTGCAGCATATAGCTATGCTCTTCCGCATATAAAGAAAGATTTTCTGCTAATTCACAAGAAATACACAAATAAATTTCTCCAGTTCTTGTAAAGCTTTTCACTACTCAGTTAAAGGGTAAAGGAACTCTGAGTCGACGCTGATTTTACTCATTTTACTAAAAGACTCTAATCAAAAAAGTCTCAGAGCTTAGAAAAATAGTAAAGTGAGCAGTAGTAGTCGAATATGAATATGATAGAGCTGGGAAGCTCTTGCTGTGTCAGCTCAATTTTCCGTTTTACCTCGTTGATTACTAAATTATGACTAATTAGTATATAGAGTGATGATATACACAGTTGCAGTTATACTATACTATAAATCACTTTATAACTGTCTTAACTACTGATAATTCGAGTTGTGCTCAAAGCAGTCGAAAATGTTTTTTTTTCCCTTATTTCAAATTTGCTTTAGCTGTGACTGTTGCGATATTCGCTCAAGCAGTTAAAACTGGTTTATGGGGCTTAAAAAGTTGTAATTGCCAAGACGAGTGACTTTACAGATAAATTATAAGATATATATAGAGACAAATTTATATATGTAGGAGTACGTATGCAAAGGCAGAGGCTGGGCTGACTTAGAAAACGATACGCCGCACTTGAGTGTGGCTGTGAGTGGCCCCGATATGAATATGTGTATATATGTATGTGTACATGTATGTATCAATGTACACATATATATATATATGCTTGAGCGGGTTGCGGCACTCAAAACTTTTTGAATGCACGCCGAGAGGCGAGCATGTGGCAGCCTCCAATTTTGCTTGGCTTCTGCTATTGCATCTTTGCTCGAGTGGTAAACATGCAACACTCACACACACACACACAGACACACACACACGCACACAGAGGGAGAGCAAATACATCTAAATAACGTAGCATACAAATGGGGGCAAGCCAAGCCAAGTCAACATGCACTTGTGGCAACAGCAACCGTAGCAGCAGCCCTGAATTAAGCTTGGCATGCCACAGCAGCAGCTGCTACTGCTGCTGCTGCTGCTGCTGCTATGCCAACTGGGAAAACTAAGACAAATAACTTAATGCCTTTTCTATTTGCAGTTCAAACAATAGAGACGCTGCCGCTCTGCCACGGGGAGGCGCAACAAAAGTGCAACAGCTGCACGGAAAAACAACTAAAAACTGCAACAAAAGCCCAAAAGTCAAAGTAAACCCAGACAGACGTAAAGAGTGCAAGGTAGAGAGAGAGAGAGAAAGAGAGAGTGACAGAGAGAGAGAGATACAGTGTGGGTAGAATGTGTAGTGCAGAGTCCACAAGGCAGCTTAAAGTGGCAGCAGCAAACACAACCGGATAATAAGCATAAGAGCCAACAACAACAGCAATAACCATCGCAACAACAACAACAACAATAGCAACAACAACAGCGGCAGCTGAAGGCGCTGGCGTAGCGCAGGCCGTGCCCAGCATTTAAATAAAACCAAGAAGAAGAAGAAGAAAAAACATAAACCCAAAGCCAAAACCAAAATCAAATCCAAATCGAAATTCAAACGGAAATAAGGCAGAGCGAGTGAGAAAGAGAGAGAGAGAGAGAGAGAGCGAGGACGAGTGAGGCAACGAGGTGACGTCACAGCGCCGCTAACTAGGACACTCGTGCCGCAAAACGCAAAATCTCGTTAGCCTGCACATCCCTTGCATCCTTAGCATCCGCTTGAATATTCACATCCGCGAAATGGTCTCTCGGCTGGGCCTGCACTCGCTGCTCGCCGCGCTGCTCGTGCTGGCGGCGCAGCTGTCCAGCGTGTGCGGCGTCATCGATCGCTTGGTGGTGCAGACCAGCTCCGGTCCGGTGCGCGGCCGTTCCGTAACGGTGCAGGGTCGCGAAGTGCACGTCTATACGGGCATACCCTATGCCAAGCCGCCTATCGATGATTTGCGCTTCCGCAAGCCGGTGCCGGCTGAGCCCTGGCACGGCGTACTCGATGCCACCCGCCTCTCGGCCACCTGCGTCCAGGAGCGGTAAGTAGCGACTGATGTGGGTGTGGGTGTGGGTGTGGCTGTGTGGGGGGCTGGTCATAGTTAGTTAGCTTTTGACGGTCCGCAGTCTCTGCATCTCTGCAGTTGCAGTTGACCTACAATGCAATAGTCGCTGTTGACCTAACTGTTGCGAGTGACGTCATTACGAAAACGAATGCCGGCCAAAATGTTAAGCAAATGTATGCACAGAGACATATATACATATATGCATGTATGCATGTCTCTATACACACACATTCATACTATATTCATTTAACATTGTGAATAGCAAAATGTCAACATTCCAACTGAAAATGGGATTGATGCATACGCAGCGTTGAGGACTCAAAGTGTAACCTATTCAAAATGTCCCAAATTCGGTTGGGAAAATAAATGAAATCTTTATTGATATATAGATAGAGTCTAACTTCTAGATATTTAGATAGATAGGTACATACATATAAAGATTGATAAAAAGATAGTTCGATAGTTATATAGATCGATAGATATATAAAAAGATATATAGATATATAGATCGATAGATAAATGGATAGACAGACAAACAGACAGACAGGTGGATATATACATTTAATTAATTTTTGATAGATGATAGGTAGATATACAGATGAATAGATAGATTGTTCGTTTGGCGTTTTACCACGCCCCCCGTAGGGGTTCAGTTATTTATTCACACATTTAGCAGATTAGAATATATACAACAATTTCCATTTCTCAAGATTAGCTTAATATATTTCATGTTCAAAGTTATACTTATATACGTCTTCTTCTCCTTTATAAAACAGCTATACAATTATTTATAAAAAAAAAAAAATATATACACACACCTTGTATATTCATTTTAATATAGAATTATTCATTAGTAAAATAAGTCTGAAGAGCTAAGCGGGTATCAAAGCAAAGTGGCCACATATATATATCATACTTTTTAGGGCAGCATTTTTTATTTTTTATTATTATAATTTTTTTTTATAGGAATTTCGCAGGGAGGTCTGCACTTCTTGAGTCTTCTTTTTCTGGCTGCTTTGTTAAGTCTTCTCGCCAAAGGGTTTGGGTAACCTTCGAGTCTTGCAACGTAGCTAGCAGCTACCTTTTGCATTACCCATTGTCCCTGGTACGCATGTCCCAGGGAGCAGGGCAGCATTTTGAAAACTCAAATAAATGATTAAAATTTTAAACGCAGCTCTCAGACTTAATTAAGCACTGATTCTATATATAAAAAAAAAATACAGATATGAAAGAAAAATATAAGAATTGACAACTAATAAACTGTTGTCTTTTAATTAAGTCGACGAAGATATTGAATTGAATTCCTTCCAAAATTTCTGCCTGCAGAAATCGAATGAGCTAATAAATACACTCTATATACATATATATTGGCATTCGTTTGACACAGGTATATTTGATTAGGTGATACATATATAGTATAGAGTGTCTCCATTAGTTGACTGCCAACACTTTGAAGCCCGTTTGCCCGTTGAAAAAGAAAACCCACAGTTTGGTCGATATATTCGGAATGCTTAAGCAAGTTAACAGGCTAGCATTTGGTGGGCGGGGAGAGGAGCATGCTTCAAGTATATTATATCAATTTCGGGTATACGGAGTGTACTTAATAGAGCGACTAGCCTAGTCATATGTTGTCTTTTACTTAACATACATAAATCAATTAGCCTCAACTAAAGCCACTTCCTACCAGCCACAAATCAGTCTAATGAATTTCAAAAGCCATACTCGTTTGCCGCACGCTCAAATGTAACATAACGAGTGTGTGCCTGTGTGTGTGTGCGTGTAGAGCTTAACGGAAATTAGACAAATACAGAGATACAAATAGAGATAGGGAAAGAATGAGAAAAGCGATGACAGAGTAGAATCGCCTTTTCCGGTTTGTTATAAATTACTTTTTATGCGAAGTGCCAAAGTTAATTTCAATTGACACGAAACCAAACACACCTACAGAAGGCGAGCTAAACGGATATGAATATATTGAACCACACACACAAACACACACCACTATGCGTATCGTCCAGCCTGTATATGTGTGTATATATGTATGTATATACATTTATATATCGATTCGAAAGAATTCAACATTTATAGGGCAAACGAACTATGTAGCTAAAGTCATCTGACTACGAGTGTGTGTGTGTGTGTGTGAGTGTGTGTGCGTGTGGGTGTGGGTGTCGGCCTGCGTGTGTGAGTATGTGTGCTGGTTTATGGACTTGTGTGTGCCCTCGAAAAATGGCACAGAAATAGTAAAACAGGTAAATCAGAAGAGTGCAAATAAAAATAAATAACACAGCTGGTTACATTTTTTGTTGTTGCTCGTAATTGGCACGAATTACACTTAAAGAAATTGCTTGTGCGAAATTCGTATGTAATCTGCGATGAAATCTAATTAATACATATAAATGTGTATGAATTGCCTTTGATGTAGTTAACAGCTCTGATAAGCTGAAGTAATTTAATAATTTAGGTAAAAAGCTCTAATATGCCGGTAAAAAAAAAAAAATATATATATATATATATATTACTCACTTCATATTTGTTTTACATTTAAGTATTTTTATTTAACAAGATTTTTATTGAATAGTGTACAAAGGAACAAGACACTAGCTTACATTTGGTGTAGAAATTATTTTATCATTTTAGCAGCGGATAATGTTTACTTCAAATGATTAAAGTTTATTTGTTTTACTCGCTGACACATTGAAATTCGGAAATTAAGGCTTTAAGTTTATTTTTATTTTTATTTTATTTATTTATTTATTTTATTTCTTTTTTGGGCCATAATTTTAAAGCTATATCTTTGCATATAATCATAATTATGTCGTTGCAATTTTCCCAACTTGGCATCTGAAATGTTGGCACCAAATCCAGTTTTCTAGGTCGTCTTTTACGCTGTTTGCCAGTTCATAATACTTGTGAACAGTGGATTAAGATTCAAGCTGTTCAACTGTGCCTCAAATTGCTTAAGCATTGAAGCCGTGATAAAATTCAGTATATATATATTTCATTATAGTTTTTCGTATGGAAAGAAAATTTAACCAATTTATAAATGGGACATATTATAAGTTTGATTAAATAATTGCAGATTAGAGTTCTGTTAGCTTAAAGGCAACTTAAACCACTTTAACTCAAATTCAAACTTAGCTTAAAAAGAAATTTATATAAAAAAAAAAAAAAAATAAATAAATAAAAAAATTTATTCCTAGGTTAGGGATATAAAAAACTAAAGAAAAGTTAGTATGCTTAGCAGATATAGAGCGTGATCTAGTCTGAGCATTCTTTTAGTTCTAGTACCAGAGCTAGTAGATCTGAGATCTAGCCAGGCTGCTTGAGTGGGACTTTTGTCTCTCGATCTATTTTTACTACTTGTACTCCGTCAACCATTTAAAAACATAGTTGATATATTATTTCATATATATACTTTCATATTTTACTTACATATTTGTCAACTGGATTCTAAACGGTTTCATCAAAAGCTTTTCAACTGATTGCATATTCTTTTCTCTTCACTCGTTAGCTATGAATACTTTCCGGGCTTCACTGGCGAGGAGATCTGGAATCCCAATACCAATGTATCCGAGGACTGTTTGTATATAAATGTTTGGGCGCCAGCGAAGGCGCGTTTGCGTCATGGGCGTGGCGCCAACGGAGCCGAGGTAAGCAGTCTCTCTCTCTCTCACTTCCACTCTTTCTCAGCACTACACTGTTTCTCTCTGCCTCACTCTTGGTATTCTAGCACTCGGGCAACAAGCAGACCGATACGGATCATCTCATACACAATGGCAATCCACAGAACACGACCAACGGGCTGCCCATATTGATATGGATCTATGGCGGTGGCTTCATGACCGGATCGGCCACGCTGGACATATACAATGCGGACATCATGTCCGCCGTGGGCAACGTGATCGTGGCCTCGTTTCAGTATCGCGTGGGCGCATTTGGCTTTCTGCACCTGTCGCCGGAGATGCCGCCAGAGTTTGCCGAGGAGGCGCCCGGCAATGTGGGTCTGTGGGATCAGGCACTGGCCATACGCTGGTTGAAGGACAACGCGCACGCCTTTGGCGGCAATCCTGAATGGATGACGCTGTTTGGCGAGTCAGCCGGCTCGAGTTCGGTGAATGCACAGCTCATGTCGCCGGTCACCAGGGGCGTGGTCAAGCGTGGCATGATGCAGTCGGGCACCATGAATGCGCCCTGGAGCCACATGACATCCGAGAAGGCCGTCGAGATTGGCAAATCGCTGATCAACGACTGCAACTGCAATGCATCCATGCTGAAGGTGAGTCCAATCCTCTAGTCCCCCAATGAACCCATTTTAATAACTGTCCGATTAGACAAATCCCGCCCACGTGATGACCTGCATGCGTGCCGTGGATGCCAAGACCATATCAGTGCAGCAGTGGAACTCCTACTCGGGCATACTCAGCTTCCCATCGGCGCCGACCATTGATGGCGCCTTCCTGCCCGCTGATCCGATGACTCTGCTGAAGACAGCCGATCTGAAAGGTTACGATATACTCATGGGCAATGTCAGAGATGAGGGTGAGTCGCATTTGATTATTGTTGAGAGTTATGAGAGCTTCTTCATAAGTGAAGTGCTTGATGAAAAGTGTTCCATGTTTGTGTGTGTTTAGTTTAAGAGCTCAAGAGCTTACAATTTTTCATAGCATACTTTTGTGGGCTCCCTAAGAGAAAGATATGCAGGGAGTGGAGGACGGTGTATATATAGATTATAATGTTGTTTGGAAACACGCTGAGCTTCTTTCAGCTCTATAATATATATATATATATATATATAGCCGAATTATATATACTCATATATATTCATTTATAATTAAATTATATATATTATATGTACTATATAATATGAAAGTGAAAAGAAACCTTAACACAAATAGATAGGAAAAAATGAAATCCTTAAATATCCTCTCACTCTTTCTTTCAGAACATTCTGTTATCAAACTATACCCCCAGCTTGTTCGTGTTAAGTAAAATGTTTTTTTGCAGCATGTTTCTGCTATGTCGCCAACTTTTCACTGAGCTAGAAAAACAGTTTTCCTTTTTTTTTTTTTTTTTTTTTTTTTGTCCGCTCTGAAAGCAGTTTCAGCGAATTTGCTTTCTTTTAACTCGGGCTGCAAATATCCTTGAGCTGAGCAGTTGCTTACTTTTTCAGCAGCTTTTTCATAGAGTGGACATCAACTTAATCAAACTTAGCTCGAGCTGTTGTCCACTGTTTTTTAACCAGCACGTAAACCCCATCTCTCTCCCTCTCTCTTTCTCTCTGTCTCTGTCTCTCTCCCGTTCCGCCTGCACTCTGTCCACTTTCAGCTAACAATAGCCTATCCGTCCGCCTGCTCTGGCGCTGCTCCGTTGGCATTGTTGCAGTTTTATTTTTGGCATCGCCTTTGATGCTGACGTCAGCAGTGTGCCAAATTTTCGCTGTGGCTGCAACCAGTCGCCATTTTGTTCATGTTGCAAGCCGCCCCTCAGCCCTCAGTCCTCAACCCTTTGTCCCCATTTCAGCCACCCGCTGTCGCATTTGTTGCTGCTGCATCCATTTGTGATTTTATTACTTTTGTTTTCATTTTCGTTTGTTTGTTTGTGTTGTTGTTGTTGTTGTTATTGTTAATGTAGATGCCACCGCATAAGCCATGCTTTGTTGTCGTTTCATGTTGTTGGTGTTTGGTGGGAGTGGCTGGTTGCCTCTTGGCCGTTTGGCCGTTTGGCCGCTTGCTCGAATGCTTTATGAGCCATAGTACATTACCGGCTTAGGGACAAGTTTTGGCCCGGCTTTGTACTGTGCTGCCACACACACACACACACACAAAAATGCACTTTGTGTAATGGCTGCGGCTTGTGGCAGCTGCCCCCAGCTCCGGAACGTGCCACAAATCAAGCAAGCTTAAAGAGAACCTCGAATCTAGAGTCGAATTTGTCAACGCAGCTGCAAGCAGCAGCAGTAACAGCAGCAGCAGCAGTAACAGCAGCAGCAGCAGTAGCCAAATTGAGCAGCAGAAGATGGAGCTGTGCCCGACTCACACGCATGAAATTCGCAAGGAGCTGAAGAGGGTTGACGGAACCCTGAGTGGGGTGGGGGCGTTCTATTGGAGCTGCCATTAAACTTGTCAGACTCGTGCACGCAACAAGCTCCCCGGGAGCGGTGGGGGGCTGGGGCAGTTGGCGTCACATCGGGGGCAATGTCAGGCAGGAATCATGCGGGCGCTCAGCTGTGCGAAACGACATCATAAATTATTTAAATATATTTATATATACGTGTATATACATATATATACACATGTACCGTTCGATGCGGCAGGCAGCTGAAAATAACAGTAAGGCATGTTGCATCCACGCGCCGATTGGGGCAGCACACGTGCTGCTACTCGAACAGGCATGACATGATACCAAAGTTAAAGAGCTTAAAAATAAATAAAATAGAAAACGAAAATTTTTAGAATGCAACCTAAATTATAAATAAATTATTTTTACACAAATTTTAAATTTTTGAATAAATTATACAAAACAAATATTTTTTCTGGAAAATTAATTTAAAAAAGAACACTTAAATAATTAAATAATAAATAATGAAAAATTAATAAATAAATTATATTAAAAAATATATATATATATTGAAAAATATATTGTATAATAAAAAAAAAAAACAAATAATAAAACATAATACATGTCTAAAAAGTCTAAATTTAAAAATATATTTATTTTTTATTTATTTAGTTAAAAAGTTTATTCTCTGTTAAATGAAATTCCAAAGTATGAGGAGTGAAATATTAAATATATAAACATATGTATAAAACATAAATATTTCTATTCTACATAAATATTAAATACATTTAATTTATCAAGATGAAGAAGAAGTATTTATCTTAATACTTAATCAAAATTGTTTGTCGTCAAAATTCTTTCTTATTACTTTCAAAATAAAATCATTTCCCCTATGTTCAATCTATGCAAGACTGAAAGCCATATTAATCAGCATTCAAGGCATTCACACACACACACTCATACAGATACACTCGCACGGACAATTGAATTCCTAGAAACTTGTGTTGCCATCTTGCTCTTGCCTGCTGCGTGCTGCATTGTGCTTTAAATACCGTTTGATTTTTAAGCTCTCAAAGCAAATGTTCAATTGAATCGTAATTTCTTATTTTTTTCTACGCTCAAGTTGAAAAGATTGCAACGTTTTTTTTCTTCTTTACTTCTCCTACTTTTTTTTTTTTTTTTAATTTTTTTCATTGTATTTTCTACTTCAGCGCCTCTGTCCGTTTCGCATTTCGCTTGCGGCGACGGCGACGGCGACCGCTGCTGCGTTTCCCAGCATTTATCGCGTTTGTGTTTGCCTGGGTTTGCGTTTGCTTGGCCTAACGGTAATGTTAACGCTTTGTGTGCATTGTTCGCATTATTCGTGCCATGCCGCGCGCTACTTAAAAAATTCCCGTTCGTTTTGCTTTCTCTTTCTCATTTTGCGCGAGCTATGCGTATGGCGCCGTGCATGTGTGTGTGTGTGTGTGCGTGTGTGTTGGGTTTGTTTTCGTATAACAGATTCTCGGTCGCTTTTTGTGCCTTTTTCTTGGGTTCGCTTCGCTTTCATTTTGTTTTTCTTGTTGCCATTGCTGCTTCGTCATTTCCAGGCGGCAGGCACCGAAGCACACTCACTCACACACACATTCACACTCACACATATAGAGGAACGTAAGCACTGGCACTGACACACGGCTCCGGGGCACTGGCGCTACAGACACGTGCGCTTTTCTGCTCACTTTCACTCATTGCTTGCAGCTGCTGCTGTCGCCTTTGCCTGGCTCTCCGTCTCGCTCTTTTGCTTCTTCAGTCGTGTTATTGTTTTTGTTTTTGCTGCATATTACAGCCACTGGCGCTGCTGCTGCTGCTGCCGCTGCCTGCCACTGTGCTCTGTCGCCGTCGCTGCTGTTGTTGCTGTTTCTAGCTAAGGTGTGCGTGCCCACAACACAACCACAACGATGGCTACGGCTCGCATATAACTGTTTCTCTACGACTGTATGTGCGTGTGTGTATTTGTGAGTTCAAGGTCATCTAGCATTTGAAACAAAACACAATAGATTACAATGCGCAGCTTGCATGAAAACATTTTAATTCTATTGTTTGTTGTTGCCTGTTAACTTGGTCAAAATGTTGGCGGTAATAACATCATTACTTTATAGATGCGTTTGCGAACTATTGTTTTTGTTTGATTTACAGTTTTACTAATTACTCAATTATTTATAAATTTAAATTTGTATTTTAAGATTCTCTCAAAGTCTTTCCGTGTCCAATTTGACCTTTTTCCGTTGCTGTGGAACTTATATATATATATATATATATATATATTTATTTGTATATGTATATGTATATGATATAACTGCAAAGTTAGAGCGAATTAGCCAAATGCTTGTTCCCAGGCTGTTTAAGCATTAAGTATACGTCATGTCTGGTCGCTGCAGCTGCTGCAACTAAAATTGTCTTTGTGACCTTGAATATAATTAACTAAAGATCACGAAAAATAACTAAATATATATATTTTTGTTTGTGGATGCTTAAATTGCGTAGAATGAAATATCGTAGAATAATAAAATAAGTAATAAAACCGGCTAAAATAATTAAATATGTATAAGTTTGGTCATATAAGTTTGTCTGCGAACCAGAATTTTCGTCGCAATAACCGTAGGGATGTTAAAAGAAATATGTACTTAAATATATATTAAAAACCTTAAACAAATTACTAACCTGAAAAATAAAAAAAAAGGAAATTTTGGCATAAAACTTAAAATTGTTAAAGCATGCAAGTTGCATATAAAATTACTAAATACAAACATATTTATAATTAACTGAACAAATTTAACAAATGAATAAAACTTAAATAAAATCAGCTGAAAATACAACAACCTTATGTTTGAAGAGTTTGAAAGTAGAAAACTCATTTGAATATTTATTTAAATATATATAAAAGTAAACATATAGTTTAATAATTATTTTGTAGTTATATCTGTTTTTCTGTCTTCATCTAATAAAGTCATTTGACTGAAATACATTTATTTAGTCAACTGTTTGCCCAGTTCTGAACCACTGTGCCCACTGTGTATAAGATTTCTTCATAATTGTTTAATCAATTTTTGAGTGGCGTCAAACACAAATTCATTTATGTTACACGCTGAGAATAAGTAAGTGTTTGAGTGTGTCTCTGTGTGTGCGTGTGTCTCAGTGTGTGCGTGTGTGTTGCTGTTTAAATTTAATGCGTAAACAAAGCTCGTTTTGCTCATGTTTTTGCATAATTTTCGGAGCTTGAGCCAAAATTGAATCAAACATCAACAAATTGCTTGCAGGCAAACAATTTTTTGTTCTTTGTTTTTCTTCTTCTTTTCCGTTGTTCTGGGACCACGAAGCTGCTGGGCGTGTGTGGGTTGACACACATAGCACCCAGACTCACGCACACAGCTATTGGCTATTGTTGTTTTTGCTGTTGTAACTGGCTCATAGGCAGCAATTATGGCTCGTTAGTGTGTTCGTATTTGAAGTGTGCCAGAGACAATGCCAGCAGCAACACACAACAGCAACAACGACAGCAGCAGCAACAACAACAACAATAGCAGCTACAGTAAACATAACAAGCGACGACAACAACAAGTGCCATAAAAATTAAGTTAATAAAAGGCAACTAGACGCTTTGTTCTCGCCCTTGTTAAGGCCGTTGTTGCTGTGGTTGATTTTGTTTATTCTATTTCACCCTTTTGTGCACCTCGACAACAACAACAACAACAACGACGACGACAATTGTTGTTGTTGTTGTTTGGGTTAATGCAGCGTTTGGTGTCCTTGGCACGGCTCGTTGATTGCGCCCCTTTGGCCACATCGTAGTGTCAATTGTTTTAGATTTTGCCCACGTAACATGAAGACTTTACTTCATATCTGTCTAGGCCAAGTTTTAATCACATTTTCCCGTTCTCTATCTCTCTCTCTCTCTCTCCTCTCTTGCAGGCACCTATTTCTTGCTGTACGATTTCATTGATTACTTTGATAAGGATGATGCCACAGCGTTGCCACGTGACAAGTATCTGGAGATTATGAACAATATATTTGGTAAGGCCACGCAGGCGGAGCGCGAGGCTATTATATTCCAGGTAAGCAACAATGCTCACGAATACACACACACACACACACACACAAACACACACACACAGTCCACACAGTAGCACATTCGCACTGCATCTGACATGTGCCTATGCCAATGTCGAAGGGGAAACGCATCGTTGGCTTTCTTTGTTGCCCCTGCTGTCAGCTGCAGCCAACTTGTGCCCCAATCTAACCACACACACACACACACACACACACACACACACACACACGCACTGACACTCACACACACACACACACAGAGGCATAGAAAACTTTTCAGCTCTTGCAGTGCGATTGGCCACAATTCCCACTCTGCCACAGTCGCCGCATAAACGAGTTAAAAATCTGACGTCAACTTCTATGAAACTGCATTACGCAAATTTATTCACTCTGTTTGCAGTGTGGCAGGGGCAGCAAATTTAATCAAAAACACAGAAAATGCGCAGCGCATTAAATCGAATTGCAACTGCAGCTGAGCGAATCGCCAGATATCGCACGATACTAACTGCAGCTCCAGCAGTGAGCCAACCCTCCCCCCTACCCATTCCCACAGCTGCAATCATATTTAGAATTTGCTTCCTGATTCGAGGAAGATGTAAACTAATTAGATGACATCATTGCCAGACTTGCAGTTGGCTAGCTATTAGCGATTATTTCAGCTCGATTGAAAGATAGATCGCTTAAAGCTTTGGCTTGAAGATCTTTTTAGAGAGTGCTTAGAAGAAACTTGTTTGTTTTTATGCTGCAAATTTAGTCAGTAATTGAGAGATTGTAGGTGTACCTCTCCAGTAATCATATTCCCATTTGTCAGAATTGATTTTATTATTTTATGATTTATTAAAGTTATACTTAATTAAATAGTTGCAAAAGTAATAGTCGAAAATAGAAATTGAACTAGATATAATATAATATAATATAATTGTAAAATTTAAAAAATAAATCTAGCTAACTAGGTGGAGAATGAAGACCGATTGTTTGTCTCTCGTTTTTGATGACCTTATAAAGGAATTTTATATTAGTTAAATAGAGAGCTATGCGATGTCATAAGAAATGTGCATATCAGATTATTAAATATATATATTATATAGATGAAACGAAAGGCCCCAGTGTCAATGCTTAATTAGCTAGTTAGTTTTTAATTGTATATTAAGTCTAAGACCTAACAGATAAATACTATATAAATAGTTTTATATTAACTTGAAAGTCATATAAGTAAATATTACATAAGTAGTAGATATGATACGCATATGTGTATATGCCTCCGCTGCTTCAATCTGGCTCTCGTCCATTCTAATTTGATCCTTTTAGAGTAGAGTCCAATAATCAAATTTACGTTTCACTATTATTGGCAATGTGCCTAGACAATGGTAATTTTCAAATTATTACGACCCGGCTCAGATGGACTAAATAGCTCTAATTCCATTATTCACTTTTCACAGCTTTCGTATTTTCTCTCCCCCTCTCTCTCTCTTTCGCTCTTTCTCATAAAAATATAATTGAAAGGTACAAACTAGATAAATAGATAGAAGCGTTAAGCTAACAAAAAAAAGTCACCCGTTTAATATTTTTGTAACAATTTTAGACAAGGCAAAGGGCCTCAGAACTATAGTAATCTATTAGTAATATGGGTCAATTAAGAGCAATTGGGAAACTGAGTCGCTAAGGCGACTCCATACACAACTCACGCTCTTTTATTAAAACATTATATATTATATACTTCATTTATATATACATAGTTGAAGCTTAACTGACTAACTCTTCCTGCTCTTCGCACACGAATTTTGCAGTACACCAGCTGGGAGGGCAATCCGGGCTATCAGAATCAACAGCAAATTGGACGCGCAGTCGGGGATCATTTCTTCACGTGCCCCACCAACGACTATGCACAGGCGCTGGCCGAGCGAGGTGCCTCCGTGCATTACTACTACTTTACACACGTGAGTAGCTCAGGTGGTATTTGAGTGGTGCTGTGGGTGCTGTGGGTGGTGCTGCCTGACCATTGCACGCAAATCATTAAATATTTCACAACCTTTGACACGTAAGACGGCGTCGGAGCGCGTGTGTCCAATCGAAATGCGGTCAAATGGGGCGCCACTGCTGAAAAACGAGTCACACACACACACGCATATGTATATGTATATATGCGAAATGAGAGCGGGAGAGAGAGAGCGAAAAAAAAGACGGAAAGTAAACGCAGCTACGTCCAATTTGTTTGTCATTAAAATTGCACACAAGGCTAATGGCGAGCAGAGCCTAAGGGGTTACCTCCAACAGCAACAGCAACAACAACAACAACAACAACAACAGCTACTTCAACAACAACAACAACTGCAGCGCAAAGGCGACTGATGACTGTCTGCATTATTTATGCCTGACGAATGGCTGCAATCTCATAGATTACATGAATACAGACAGCGAATGCAGATGTTTTTTAATGCGCACTTTTAAGTTGGAATACCCTGTAAAAGGAGGGACAATTACATAATTGAGCGTAGCTTAAGCTGGGAAATTGAGTTGTTTAAAGCAATATCTGCGAAGTGAAATTTAAGAAGGAACTAGAAGAGACGGGAGGAGATGGGAGTAGATGGATGTTGAGAGAATTGGGTGGAAATAGACGGGAGGAGATGAGGGTAGCCGGAAGTAGGTGTTCGGTGAGGAAAGTAGATGGGTGTAGACGGAAAGAGATGGGAGACGGAAAGAGATGGGACCAGAGAAGGAGGCAGCATATAATACTCTGTTAGTTCTTTCAGGTGTGCTTTGTCAAAAAGTTGGAAACGAAATTTTTTATCATTTTGTTTATGATTCTTAAGTCCGAATTTGGAGACCTAGTTAGCTTCACTGATAGAATACTGAAAATATAATATAATTGGAGTAATTTAAATAAACAAATAGTCTATACTACAATGATATGATTTAAGATTGGTTGTTAAGCTTTAGCTTTTTGTTTATATGTTAATATTATGATATATATATATGATATAGGATGAAGGGAAGGCTTCTTACTTGGATAGATGGAGGCATTTCGTTTATGGCAAAACAAGCTTAAAAGCAACTATTTGAAGCTCACTGATTTATCAAACAGCCCTCATTACTTAGCTGTAGACAAATGGAAAAAGAACTTTATTCATTTTTTATTCAGCTTACGAGCGTTTCAATTAGGCAAATTAAGCAAAGTTGAAATTGATTGAAAAGTTTAATTCAACTTTTCACGACAGGATAATTATTGAAAGTGTGAAGTATATAAAGAGATCTATAATTAAGGTTTTTAAAATGAACTTTAATAGTTTTAATTTTTCGTAATTTAACTTTATGTATTTTACTTTTCGTCAATTATCAAACTAAAATTCTTATAGCTCATATATCACTATATACATTGTATATGAGCTTGAAGCTCATGACAAGAGCTGTTGTAGTTCATGTTGAGGCCATGTCATAATTAAATTAAATTAAATTCGATATGCATATTCTGAATCGATATCAATATGGCAACACCTTAGAGTTTTGACACCTTTCACAGGGGCCGTCGTCGGCGCTGTCTTCGAGTGGGCAAACAAACAAAGTTCTGGCCAAGTTCTGGCAACCTTGGCCGCCATAATTATGGTAACAAAAACTTTCGCTCAATACACGCCCATAAACGCGCACACACACATAGAGAGAGAGAGAGGAAGAGAGTGAGTGAGGGGGAGTGAGCGCAAGGACAGCGCCAATTAAACTACACGCACTGCCTTGTTGTCCTGTGGCTGTGCCTGTGCCTGTGCCTCTGCCTGTGCCTGGGCCTCTGCCCGGGACACAGACACAGCTCGAGCACGAGTCGAGAGTTGCGTCCAGCTGTTGCAAGTGTGCGTGTGTGCGTGTGTACGTGGAGGCGGAGGCGTGGCAATGCCTAATGAAACTTCAATTTACGAGGTCACGGCCTGTACGGCCCGAACGTGTGGGGCATAATTTGAGTCAGTTATTTGCTTAAAGGACTGCGGCTGCTGCAGGCCTAATGATTAACAAATAGGGAGTACACGAGCCTAACCGCCCCAACCCCTCCGGCCCACTCTCAACCCCCACCCTACCGCTATAAAACATCAAGTATACGCCCGCTCGGACCCTATCGATTTTCTCTCAGCGACAATGCGTAAATGTTAATAGGTAATTACAGCTGACTGACGATATTGAGTCCTTGTCCTTCCATTGATAAATCATAATAAATAAATTTAGTATATATGCGTGTATATGTATATGTATATGTATATGTGTGTATGCATATAGCTCAATGCGCCCACTCGGGCCCACAGAAATTAGTGTTTTGGTCGAAAAAATCAATATTACGCATACGCCACGTGTGTCTTGAGGCGAATGTTAATCAAGAGCTTGCACTCTCTGTTTGCTTGTCAAGTCATTAAATGTGATTTTTACTGTTCGCAATAGTCTCTCTTTCGGCGCGGTATTAAGGTGGTATACTGGTTGTCAGTTGCTATGCGAGTGAGTTTGTATATACATATGTAGGTCTAGCTGTACAAGCCCTATGAGCTTGAAGATACATTTATATGAAACTGAAACAGTTTGGCATACACTATTTGGCAGTCATGCCATGTTATTAAACAAGATAAACGGTTTTCGATTTGCTTGGTTTCAATATGCGGCAGTTTAAAAGTCATTTAGTCATGTAAATTTTTAATTTAGTTCCTTTTTGAGAGTCGTGTAAGTTTTGAGGTTTAGAGTTTGAGCAAATTAACTAAATGATTAATTTGATTAATTAAGCCTGAAAGTCACAAAACTGCAAATATTCTATCCAACAAGCTTATAAATGTGTGTATGTTATCGTCAATCAGCTATGTGTTATGGATATGTTAACTTTAGTTAGTTATTTCAATCTACAGTTTGAGTGTCACTCAAATGTAACTACAGTTTGACAGTTACCTTATCAAGATCTTTCCTGAATTTCTACTTTAAACATAGTTTGAAAACCACTGAGTCAGCCAGCTATATGCATTCGATTTTCTCGATCTAAATAGGCTTTTTACAGTCTACTACTCCAGCTACAGTTTGAGCGCCACTCTATAGTGCATACAGTTTGACAATCAGCGAAGCAGAAAATCCATTCTTATCGATGAATTTTCACTACCCAAACACAGCATGGTGCAGCTCCAAAGGCCCCAGTGCGCAGCTCTTGCCGCTTGTTTATTTAATAGAGCGCACGACCTGGCCAACAGTGCGTGTGCAAAGTAAACGTACAGCCGTTGCATTGGCCCTATTAAATCGCCTGCTTATAATCTAGCATCAACAACAACGAAGCCTGCGAAATGAAAAGCAAATGAAATTAGTTTTAATTACAGCCTTCAATTGGCTGCAGCGAAACTCGTAACTCATTTCGGCCATAAACGAGAACTGGCCGTGGCGACCTTTGCCACTGCCGCCTCCTCCGACCTCCTCCCCCACCTCCATCGACCTCCTGCTGGTCGTGCTGGCAAATGGGGTCGCCAGCTGGGCAGCCGTTGGAGTGCCTGGCAGATTGTCTATTTCGATGGCTGCCAGTGGCAACACTTGACAGCCTCTTGCCAGCTTCTGCAGCGACGTGCAACGTGCTTGGCACTTAAATAAGTTCGCTCTGCTGCCAATTGCCAATGCTCGTGTCCGAGCTTTAATCAAAAAAAAAAAAAAAAAAAAAAAAAAAAAAGCGAGAAAAAAAAATGAAACTTTACTTTTGCCGTACAATTCTTCATTATTCGCGGCTCCCTTTGCTACTCTTTCACTTTGTCTATATATCTCTCTCTCTCTCTCTCTATCTCGCACTGTCTCTGTAAGGAGCCTGGCAGCTGCAGCAATGGGGCGTGCATATCCTGGCTGCAATTCATTAGATGACTTGGCCAATTGGCTGCCAGTTTGCAGTGGCTGCCAATAGCCAAATTGCTTGAGTGGACAACACTTGAATATAACGCACAGTGGTGCAGATTCAACCTAAATTGAGGGGAATTTTAAAACTGTCTATGTATGTATGCATGGCAGATGTTCAGTTTTGTTTTGATATAGCTCATTCTTTTTTATGAGAGAGGCTTCGGAATAATTTTCATATCTATATATATAGTATATATCAGTTATCTGATCTTCTCCAAGCTCTCATCAGTAAGAAAATAATGCTATTGGAAAAGATATTTCGATAACTCATTTTCGAATACATTTAAAGATAAGAAATTCATAGTTCGGAGCTTTCCAGAATTATAAATATTTCATTAATAAAATATATTATCTAGTCAAATATATATTCAGGGTAGCCTTGCTCGTCAGTTAATTAAAATTCGTTCATTGTTTGGCACAGTTTGCACCACTGTGCACTAGAGCTGTCTATCAGTTGCCATAGACTTCGGCCAAATTGCTGTGGTTTTGTGGCTTCTCTTTGTTGTTATTGTTTTTGTTGTTGTTGCTACTGCTGCTGCTCTTGCAGTTGGCTGTTGCGGTTAATTAAGGTATTAGAATAATTAGGAAATGGACTGGGGTATATATCCAACCGTTTGAGTTATCAATGCAGGCAATATAAGCGCAATTGGCTGTCTTATAGCCACGAGCACGCAGTCGCATCGTTTGTAAAATACTCTTTCCTTTACCCATGTTTTATTCTGTTCTCTTCAAGCCGTTTTAAGCAGCTGGCACATGCAACTTGGCAGCAAGTGTTTCCAGCAACCAAACATTGGTTATTTATTCATTTGCTGCGCTGTGCTGTATACCCACTGAAAATGGCTTGACAAGGGGTATATGTACTCGGTCTTAGCTTGGATGAGCTATAAAATGTAGTCGAACATATATATTCTTTTTGCAGTCCTTTTCTCTATATAAAAATGCTATACTTTGACTACCTCATAATTCCTTTAAGATAATCCACAAATATTTCCACATAAATTCTACTATCGCTAACAGAGCAACTGCCAGTTGAGCATACCCAAATGCAGCATTCTGGTTTTACTTTTCGGTTGCTTTATGTTTATTTTTGGGCTCCACGAGATGCTGCGACAATATTTACAATTTGCAGAGCGCGCGCGAGTGAGCGAAATCAAATAAATAAATAAAAAGGGTGGATGTTTATCTGCATAATTTCTGGCTAAGTTTACGACAATATTATCCTCTCTCTCTCACTCACTCTCTCAATCACTCTCTCACTTTTACTCACGGTTTCCACCTTCTTTTTTTCCATACCATAGCGCACCAGCACCTCGCTGTGGGGCGAGTGGATGGGCGTGCTGCACGGCGATGAGATTGAGTACTTCTTTGGTCAGCCGCTGAACACATCTCTGCAATATCGACCTGTGGAGCGGGAGCTGGGCAAGCGTATGCTAAATTCGGTCATTGAGTTCGCCAAGACGGGGTAAGCTTTCGCCGAGCTTTCATTTAGCAAAGCTTGCCATAGCCAAAGTCAATATAACGAGTTGGCTTAGCAAGTACACAAACCCGTTTGCTATAATGCGAGCTTTCATTGCTTCTCCCACACACGCAGCAATCCGGCACCGGATGGCGAGGAATGGCCGAACTTTTCAAAGGAGGATCCCGTGTATTATATCTTCAGCACAGACGACAAAATTGAGAAATTGGCTCGTGGCCCGCTAGCAGCGCGTTGCTCCTTCTGGAATGATTATTTGCCTAAAGTTCGAAGTTGGGCAGGTGAGTAAAAATTTGATATGATTGAAGCTATACGCCTAATGTCCAATGCTGTCTGCTACAAGTGTGATACTTGAAACGAATCGTGGCATATATATGTTGTCTTGGCTTATGTATATTGTAATTTAATAACACATGCAATTCTCCTGTGATAAGGCTTACGACAATTTCCCTAAGAGACGCTTAAAGCTAAGTCTTATCTATGTACATAGACTCTTGCCAATATTATCTGAAATTAAGTGGAAAGTAAAGTCTTCTATTTGACAATCAAATAAGACTCGCAGCGAGCAGAGCATTAGTTGATCCTGACTACCCGTTTGTAATATTCATTCTCTCTAATTTTTTTATTTTTATATTTGCGAAATCTTCTTCTGGTTATTAAGTGCTTTCAGGTGACAATTCGCAAGTTACTTTTGTTTCATTTTCTTTATGAATTTTTGGCATACAATTAACGTACACTTTATAGACATATTCTTTATGTGCGACACACGCCTCCAGCTGCTGTCTGGCTGTGACTGTGCCACACCTCAATAGCTCATCGTGCGATTCGTTGCTTCTGTTCGTATACACTGCAAACTGCATAGGCAATGTGTTAAGTGAAGATCTGAGTACTTTATGATGGGAATTCCTTTTTTTTTTTTTAAGGAATGTGATGAATACGAAAAAGTATGTTCAAATGGCTAAGGTTATAATTGATATGCAGAATGTATAAGTCAAATTAAAATAATTCTTGGATCATTTGGTTATATTGTTAGCCAATTTATTTTTAGGATAGTTTCTTGTCTTTTAGCTATAACGTTTTCTAAGCTATTCCAAAGAAAACATTTGTGTCTTTGAATTCTAAAAATAGTATATGATTATAAATATTTATTGAAACAAGATGAGAGGTTTTTTAATGCAAAATAATTTTAGTTTTAATTTATTTTTTAATTTAATTTTTTTTTTTTAATTTTTACATTTTAGTTTATTATTTTACCTTAAAACTAAATCATTACTATTTATATAATATGCACTAAAACTATCTAAAAACTCCAAGTAAAGATTTTCAGTAACTTTGCCAAATTGAATTTTTAAGGAATATATTTCATTAGATTTATAAATTTATTTGATCATTAATTTAATATTAATATTTTATTATTTTAATTACTGTTTGACTTAATTGATCATTTTAGTTATTCTGAAGGGACTTTTAAAGCGTATGAATTATTCGACTTATTGGCATTTAATTTTTTTTCTCGATTTATTTTCTTTAATGTTATTTTCAGTTTAAATATTTATAAATTTTATTTTCTCTGATCGGGTCTGGTAGCGCGTTTCAATTGGCACGACATTTTTCGGGCTGAAGCGTGTCCCATGTAAGCCTCAGATTGATTGAGTATCAAGTAATTACAGTTATGTATATATAGACTATATATAGTGTGTATATGTGTGTAAATGCTTTATTTCTTTTGGCAGTTAGTCGCAATCGTGAGTCAGACTCGTGGCAATACTTATTTTCTTTTTTGGTTTTTTTGGTCATTTCATTCCGGTGAAAGATTTTTATAGTTTTGCTCTTTTTTAATTTATTGCATTTATGCGTAGCAGCGTTCACAATTTTATTTATGGCTGATGTCAGTATCCTAAAATGTGCTCATCAATCAGTGAAATGAGTTTCGCAGTCTCAGTTTCTCAGACGTGAACCGACTCATCGACTAGCTGGCTAACTGGCTAACTGGCTGACTGACCAACTGTCTGACCGAGAAATTAAATTTAAATAAGCAATAAGCGACCACAGCATGCATATGCATATGCTTTCCAGCTGACAATGATAAATCAAGCCTCTTATACACATATACATATATACGAATATATATAAAGCATGTAGTTAAGAGAGAAGTCCAACCTGGAGTCAAAGTCAACGCGACAAAACTTGCTAATATGCATTAGTAAAGGTGGGCGTCAGCAGATTGTAAAAGTTCCTTTTATTTCATTTCTGAGTCTCTTGGCCCATTAAAATGCGTGGACAAGTTTTATGGTGCCAGGTGAAAGATGACTCGCAGTCGCAGTCGCAGTCGGCGTGGCAATCGGAGTCGCAGATGGAAACGACTTTTGTCGCGCCACGATGTCTGGTCTGGTTAGGTTTTTAGTCTCTGGGCTCTCTACAGCTCGTCGATCTGATACAAAAGGCAAATTAGTGTTTCACAAATTAATAAAATTTAATTTATGTTAATTTCGTGTGTTGTGTGAGTGTGTGTGCGATTATTGTTAAGCATCTGCTTTATACGCTTTCGCAGAGCATTTGAATTTGATCCAGAAACATGTAACGCAGAATTAGTTAGATCTACATCAGGTTAATTTTTAAGTAAATCAAATGATTTTGAATATACATCTATAAGAGTTGTTATAGTTCATCAGTAAAAGTATCTTTTGTTGCTATTGAGTATAGTATAACTTATCTTCGCAAGGGTATTTAATATTTGGCATGCTGGTGCTTCACTTTGATTTTCGTTCACGACTTTACATAAAAGCCAACAAACAGTTCGAGTATGCAAATATATCTGGCACGCGGGGCTCCCCTCTGAGCAAATGGGTTGTGCCGGTGACTGGTGAAGCGATGCTGGTGGGAATCGTTCATGCTAAGGGCCTATAGCTGAGCCATCAGGCGCAAAACTGGCCCACAAGTAAAAGCTGATCCGCACCGTGGTAACTGCTTATGGTGATAGTGGTGCTGGTGGTGGTGGAGATGGTGGTGCGGCGATTCATTGTGGTTACCGGTTCTATGGTTAATTAATTAATTTGCATTTTTATATGTTGCGGTTGATATTTTATGGCCAGCGCGGAGGAGCGCTTGCCAACACGCGCCTCATTTGCCATAATAAACATTTAAAATTTCACCGAAAAATGTCAGCGCTATATGTGTGCTAATCCATTTAAAATACAAAAAGAAGACGAAGAAGAACAGATCCAAACTGGTAACGCGCGTTCGTCCTGAACGTACCAGACGAGCTGGCACCGCATACACTCGATCAGTTTATCATTATTGACAGCTCACATAAGTGACAGGCCGAGGCTTACGACCTGGCTAACGATACTTACAGATACATATAAAGCAACAATCACAATGAAATTTAAAAATACCGAGAAATACACAGATTCCACTTAAGATATATATATATATATATATATATATATATATATATATATATATATATATATATATATATATATATATATATATATATAACAGATACAGATACAAATACAGATACAGATACAGATACAGATACAGATACAGATACAGATACAGATACAGATACAGATACAGATACAGATACAGATACAGATACAGATACAGATACAGATACAGATACAGATACAGATACAGATACAGATACAGATACAGATACAGATACAGATACAGATACAGATACAGATACAGATACAGATACAGATACAGATACAGATACAGATACAGATACAGATACAGATACAGATACAGATACAGATACAGATACAGATACAGATACAGATACAGATACAGATACAGATACAGATACAGATACAGATACAGATACAGATAACAGATACAGATACAGATACAGATACAGATACAGATACAGATACAGATACAGATACAGATACAGATACAGATACAGATACAGATACAGATACAGATACAGATACAGATACAGATACAGATACAGATACAATAAACAAATGTAGATACAAATGCGTAAATCGAAATACAGATATGCCATTAGATACAGTAACAGATACAGGTTGCCATAATTCAAGCCCGATGCCTGACATCGATATCCGATACTCGATACCCAACAGCAAACAAATGAATAAAACAATCGCGCTGTTGCCATACAAATTGTTGTATCTTTGTATCTTTTGCATTTGTATAATCTATTATGGCGTGGCCTTTTCTCTTTGATTTGCTGCGCTGCGCTGAGCTGAGCTGCGGTTACGTTTTGTTTGATTTGCGCTGCTTTTAGCGACACGTGTTTCAAATGCTCACATTGTTTTGTATCTTTTATTTATTTGTTTATCTTTCTCCTTTTATTTTATATTTGTCGCGCTTGCTTGTGCCAATTTATTTCTTGATTATCTGCGCATATAATCTACGAATTGGTCAGCCTTTTAAATTCAAATTAACGGGCATTAAATGCACGCGACACGCTTGCCCTGCGGTCAACCAAAAGATACGGGAATATAAATATAACATATATATATTTGTATAGATATATCTCTGTATGCATATATATAAATATTAATTATGTTTTTAGTAGAAGTTTATTATTTCAGCTTGAGTTGATACAAAGTATCTAAGGCGGCAGATTGATAGATAGATACATGCTTAAAGATACATATCTTGAGTTCTACGATTTATTTGCTTTGCCCGAGATATGGAAAAATAAAAGTTATTGGGTAATTAGCTGGAACAAAAGATCTAAAGTGCATGATTAAAAATATATTTATTGATCAGCTAAGCTAATGTATCTTAAACTATTGGCAAGTTGAAGATAGATGTGTTCAGTTTAGACTGTCAAGGGAAGTGTGAAGTAAGCGAGTTAAGAGCTAGCTAAAATATAGATAAACATATTTCTATGTATATCTATCTTAACGTCCGTTCATCTGAGGATGACGTTAGAAACGAAAAAAATGATAATATAAAGCTTCGCAGAGAAATCTTTGCTATGTTATTCTAAATATAGACCTATTAGATATATGGTCTAGTATATTTTACCTGCTCCTTTCTATTTTCTATTTCTTTATTTATGTTTGCTGCTTGAGAAACTAGTTATAAATTAATTTTGATTTCTATAGAACCTGCACATGCACTTTAATAAAAAAAACAACACTCTCGATAACTACGAATATACGAATATAGCAAAGCGTTTCTATCTGAACCATACCGGCCGGCTTAAAGATTTGACTTTGGTTTTGTCCGAATCGAAAACAAGTTTGTCAGATACAATGTTTGTATATGGCTATCTAAGCAGTTGAGAATCGTGGCAATGCTGCTTATGTATCTTGTTGGACAGTCTTGATTTCTTTTGGTCAAAACTGAAATTTGATCGGATCACGGTGTTGACGAACGAGTTCTGCAATTAATTAGCACACAAATCGGTTATAAATTCTGTATTTTAATAAACAAGCAAAAATGCCATTACAAAAAATGAATAAATGATATCGCAGACAAATTGCTAGGAATTGTAGTTAAGGTAAGTTCGCGTGAAATTCGTTTAAGTTGCTTATCGATATTTCGATTAATCTTTATTTGAATGCACCAAAAATCGCACCAAAAAACCAAATGCTTGCTTTTGCTTCTTTTATAATTTACAAATTGGCAAACAGTTTTTCGTTTCTTTTATTAAAATTATTATCAAAACAAAGTAAAGATTATAACTTAGGCAGCTGCAGGAGAATTTGATTTTGCTTTCAAGTAGACCAAGCAGAAGCCTCGAGCAGTGGCATGCCACGCATTAAGAAAAACAGTTTTTCTTTTCAGAACCGAACCATACAATCATTCAATCAAATCATTTTTAAACTATAAAATGCTTTTCCCCCCTGAATATGCGACACATGCTAAACATTCTATTCTCTCGCTTATCTTTCAGGCTCCGAGTGCGATTCGGGCAGTGCTTCCATAACGCCCCGCATGCAGCTGCTTGGACTGGGACTCGTGCTCTACATAGGCGCCCTGCTGCGGCTGAAAGGAGTTTTCTAAAAGAAATTCTCTGGCAACATCGCATTCCATAAGTAAAATATGATAATATTTAGCAACTGAAGGAGACGGCGATAGATGAGGAGAGAGCGAGAACGACAGAGTTTTAGAATTGGAGCCATACTGTTGTAGTGTGGCCAAACGATTTGTAAATGAATTTAGTGTTGCATGCAACTGCATTAAGTGGCAGCAGTTTGGCATTTGTTGTAGTTGTTAGTTTTAACCACTTGCCAGGTGCAAGCAGGTAGACACTTTAGCACGCGGCTTGCCCCACACGGAGACACACACACACACACCAACACATATCAAATGCAGCCCGAGTAGTTGCGCTTACTTCTATTATTTCCATAGACACACACACACACACACCCATACACACACATACACCTTGATACACTTTTGTAGCACGCCGCTGAAATTTGCTTAGTTTGTATACAAAAAAAATGCAATGACCCAATAAAGAGGCCCCAACAAACCCAGGCTCCAATAAAAATATATAAACCAACAAAAAAAGGAAGCTAAACTGAGAAATTAATCAAGCAACAAAATAAAAAAACAATTTTGATAAATTGAACGTTTGTCATGCCAGCCAGCCAGCCAGTCAGCCGGGCATAAACAATACACGAACAAGAGGAAGAACAAGAAGAAGAAACTATATTAAATACTCGCTTAGAGTTTGCATATTTTGCCAGCTGGCATGGGTCCAAAACTCTGCCCAGGCCGTAGACCCCGAAAAATTTTGAATTGATTTTTTGATAGACCCAATGAAACTTGGCCAAAAATGCATTGGTTTCAGCTTTCCGTTGGGCATGGTTCATTATTTTTGTCACACAGCGATATATGTATATATAATATATATATATATATATATATATATATATATATATATGATATTGGCATATACATATACATATATACTTATGTTTTCCTTTTGCACTTTGGGCACACCAAAAAAAAGTTCTTATGACGAAATTTGGAAATGAAAAACAAAGCAACAATTAGTAAATTTGTATTGTTCGAAGAGAGAGTTTTAATGAGAGATTTGCAAGTTTTTTTGTAAAAGGGCAGCCCGCAAACCGGAATGGAAACTGATTTCTAGGGAAATCGGTCGGAAAATGAATAAAACAAAAGTATAAAAAAAAATCAAGTTTGTAGGAAACCTAATGAAACATTTAAATGGCAAAACATATCAGTATATATATAAATATATATATTATATGAGCATATATATACATCTATATATATACATATATATATACAATAAATGTAATACATCTATATATATATAGTATACATATATGTATGTACATGTATTATTGCATTTGTACTAAACGTTTTACAAATTGGCTTAGAGACTACAAAAACACAAAAAGTTAAGAAAATAAAAACAAAATATAAATGGAAATAACTAAAAGTTTTATACACTTAGCGAAATTCGAACCAGAAACAAAACAAATGTGCTGTATATTAAAGTTTGGTATGCCTATATCTATAAATGAATGTAGATATATATATATACATATATATATATATATATATATATATATATATATATATATATATATATATATATGTATCTAAATCTAAATGAATGAATTAATCGAGTAATTGTCATATATACACATACATACATAGCTCAGTGTACGTATGGAACAAATTGAGCGCGTTTAGAATGAATCATAATTCTTAAGGGCATATCTGTATATATATATATATATATCTATATATGTATATGAATGAACAACAACAACTATTGAGAGCGAACGTTTTCGAAATTAATCTAACCTAAGCCACACTGATATTAACTAAGTTATTTTTATTATAAAAACACACACCCACAAACCTACACGCATACAGCTAAAGTAAAAAAATAAAAAAAAGACAAGTATTGGACTTCTAAAGAACAGAACAAATAAAATATAATAATACAAAAATAAATGAGAGCAGTAACTGTTTCTTGTCTATATCGAATAAAGAAACAATATTGTTTATTAGCTGTAAGCAAAATGAATTCTATATAGTATATATATATACATATGTATATCTATATATGTCTTGTGGTCTAATGCCTATTTGAGCGATGTTCGCTTTCAACTGTAGCAACTAGGAACAAAATTCAATGTGAAATTATAAAAATAAATTATTAAAATTACTTATAGTTAAGGTTGGCTTAGCGCAAGGACAACAATCGAGCCAATCAGCAGAGATCGCCAGCCATATACGAATCTAGTTTTGGCTGCCGTGGCTCTTGTCGAACCAACCTGCCAAATGCTGGACTCACAATTTAGTTTAAGCATGCAAAAGTAAAAAAAAAAAATAAATAAAATAAAAATTAAAAATTAAAAAAATAAAAATAAAATAAAAACAATAACTAAACAACTATTAACTATTCTGTTATATTCTGAGGACACACAAACTATTACTAGAACACCAAAGGTCAAGCAACGATAGTAAAGCTCACTTATGAAACTATATCCATAAAAAGAGGAAAAACAAACCCAATAATAATAATAATAAATATTGCTAATAAACATATTCGAAACAAACATAAATAAATACAAGTTAGTTAAGTAATGGAACATTGCCCTACAAGAAAATGAAATGAATCTTTGATTATAATCAAGTATATTGCAAGCAACATTCGTATTTAAATACATTAATTAAAAATATTATGAACTCATTCCTAATTTTACAAACAATTATCAAATCGATTCAATTACTTTAAAAATAAAAAAAAAAATAAACACACACAATTTTGATGAAAGTGTAAGAACTTAACGATTTTTAAGTATATGTGAACATTTATATTTTTATACCATGCAAGGCAAACCGTATTGAAAAAAAAAAAAAAAAAAATGCATTAAAAATACTAATATTAAATAAAAAAGAAGAATACAAATAATTTAAATGATAAACAACTAAATGAGAAATATTTAACATTTTTTACTGCGTATTGAAAACAATGTATGGCAAGAGTAAAATTAAAGAGGAAAACGAAAACTTGAATTCAAATACCAAACAAAAATTAGCTTTAAATGACTCAAGAAGATTCCCGCGCCATATTTTAGCCATGATTTCGCCCCAGTCAAAACAGTTTGCCACACAAATGCACAAAACTTTTAAGGATTTAAAATGCTAGGGGTATTCCCTGTTCTGTGAAACCCGGCTTGGGCCTGGCTTTGTCCGTGATTTCGGCGTGTGAGCTACAAGGATGAGTTATTGGCGCACCTCCAAGGCCAAAGGACTCCAGATCCTCCTCAATACGCCCAAATCATCGAACCTCAATGTGTAGAATTAGCGATAAATGATAAGAATTAAGGAATTTACTTTTGCCTTTTTCAAGCGAGATCTTAAATCGAATATGAAAAGATTGCAATTATTTTTACTATTTAAATGTTGTACGCATTTCCATGTTTATGTTTTAAAAAAGAGTGAATCCTCTTTCCCAACCTGTCCCACACCCACTCCTACTCCCACATCCTCTGAGAAATATATATTTTGTCATTTTGCATGGTTTTCGGCTCAAGCCAAAGAATTGACAATATAATATTTCGCCTTAGAAGCAAATGGAGATAACGAATGAGAGACAAATTCCAAGTGTTATGCTTATAGATCTAAATTTTTTATATACATGACGACACACACATTCACACATTCTTACATACATACAGACACGCATCTTGCATCTACAATAATTTCGTAAAAAAAAAAATTTGATATTTTAATTGACATTTTTTATATTTTCTGTTGCCGTTCTTCCAAACATCTATATATATCTATATATATGTGCGTATACATATATAAATATATATGTATGAAATTAATAGTGAAGAGCACTCAAAATATATCCACAGTGTGCTTTTGATATTGTAGTCTGCTATTTGTAAAAGAATTTATATATAGTATACATTATAGTGCTAAACATATACTTATGATAATAATGCAAATAATTGATATAAATGCTGTTTACATTCAAAACTTCACATACACACACATACATACACTTAACCACACCCTCTCCAAATCCGACATATATAGTACTAGTTAAGTGTCTATAGGAAAATAATGAAAGTTAGGTAAAACACAAAATATTTCCATTGGTTTTCTTTGAGTTTTGCCTTTTTGTTTTTAGTTTTCTCACTAATAGAAATACAATAATTAAATTCTTTTCGTTTGTATGGTAATAAGAAATCGTTACTAATTATATCAGCTACGACATCTGATAATAAAAAACACAGTTCTAGTTGGTAGACGACAAGTGTAAATTGAATGTTGAATTGATTGTTGAATGCGATCAATGCAGAATTACTTAAAAGCATCACAAAGAATTAATGAAAACCAAATGATATACTAAACACACACACACACCAAACACAATGTTAAAAGCCAAGCACAGGAATGCATTTGAAGATTAAACATACCAAAAATAATATATAACAAGAACAATACAGTACATTTAGCCCCAAAAATAAAAAATAAAATGCTAAATTCAATAAGATAATGAATGCGAATTAAACAATGAAAAAAATTTAAATAAAAGAACATAATTAACACGATTACTTAACGAGAATGTAAAAGCAAGTTTGATCACGTCTTTTTTTTAAGTGTAAAAATCAAATACATATCAATATATGGCCTATGGTTTATTTAGTTTAATTATATACGACTAAATTCAAAACAAAGATTATGAACAAAAATTATAATAAGATAAATGAATTAATTATAATATTAATAATAAAAATAATAATAAAATATAGCTGCAAGTGTAAGGCTCTGATTTATGACTTTTTAAGTAGGCAATTTGTAAAAATTAAGCAACTGTAACTGTAACTGTGTAAAAGTGTTGCTAAATGAAAAAAAAAAAAAGAAATGAAAAAAAAAAAAACAAATTGTGGTTAAATATGTGTTCTTACTTGTTAGTGGTAATAAAAGCCAAAACAGAGACAACAAATAAATAAAATAAATAAATAAATTTATAAAACTAATTTAAATATAAATATAATTATATAACTATGTTGTGTCAACATGCACGACTAGAAACCAACTGTAGCTTTTAATCATGCCAAGCATTTCAATATAATTTCCATTCAAGCTAAATCCTATTTTCCAGTCTGCTCCTCAGTTTCCCAATGCAGCACAGTAGTTGCCACACACCCACACACACACACACACACAAAGTAACTAAAACAAAAGAGATAATAATAGAATTATTTGCATTAATAAAATATACCCTAAGCCCCACACACTCTCAGATGCTCACCCTAATACAATAACTCTAATGAAAACTAAGCAGAAGCAAAAATTTCAATGTCATAAATAAACGAAAAGAAATCAAAGAAAACGTAGATAAATTACAGACATAGATATATATGTATATGTATATATATATATGTGTGTATCGCCACAGATATATATATGTGTATATATATATATATATATATGAAATATATATGGCAGCTCCAGTTTAGTTGAGAATTCCTTTGGGAAGGCGCTTTAGTGTTCAGCAAAAATTGTATTTGTATATTAAGATTGTTATGGAAATGCATTTGTTTATGTATGTGTCTATAGTCGATGAACGATGAATTACAATTATAATTATTATTGTCGCAGAAATTACTTTAAATTTAATGGAAAAAGCAAAAACACACAAACACCTACACACACAAAGAAAAAGTATATAATTAATGTCTTAAGATATAAAGGAAATACAAGAAAACAAAAAATGAAACTCTGTATACACAAGCTACATATAGATACATATAGATAATTATGTCATGAGCATAAAAAAAGTAGGGATCATTTTACTGAATATTTATATATACATACATATATATATATATGTAAATTATACTATATGTAATCTAACAGAAACACACACAAAAATCAATTCTGCTAACAAATAATAAAGAAATAGTAAAAATCACTCATGAACAATTGCTAAATACAATTTGCTATACTTCGAGGAAAGAAAATAAGAACAAATATATAAAATAAAAACCAAAAGTAAAAAATTAAAATCTACCAGAAAATGAAAAACACAAAGAAAGACAAAACTGTAAACAGTAAATTTATAAAAGAAAATGAACAAAAATCTAAGTGAAATTATATTATACGAATATATTGTATATCGAAACAAGATGAAT